TGATGACAGTGTTTCTAAAGCCTGCTTCCCTGACCTCACCACGCCTCCCTCTGAGTCCCAGAAACACTTTGGACAAAACATAGATATAATGTGGGACTAAATAGACGTCCACCTCCCTGATTATCTCTCCAATGTCCACCTGCTGCCCAAAACAGCCTCAATATCCATCAAAAACCAAACTAAAAAGAGTTCTAAGAGAAGCAACTAGGTGATTATTTTTGGTACTCAAAGCTCAACACTCACCAAGGTGCTGCTTTACATGTACATAATCTTCTGGAGGTTCCTCCAGCAGGTTACTAATTCCCTGTAAAGGTAATATTTACTGGATGCAGGTCACACAGAAATGAACTGCACCGACATCTGGAGAACTCTGCACACATTATATCTGACTCTAAACCTGCACAGAAAGTGCATTAAAACCAGCACCAATAATAAATGAACATTTACTTACCGAATGGATCCTTTTCAGTGTCTCTGGTTCAGTCAGCTGAAGGTCTGAATTGTGGTGAATTGAAAACGGGTTAAAACCAGCCAGCGGACAGTAAAATTGTGGAAAATGTGCTGCTACTCCACAAATAAACAACAACAAACTAACAGTTCATTATATCAGAAGTAAATCCAAACAAGGATGAGACCTGAGTTTATGGTGGATGAGGCTGCCTCATCCCTATGACCTGTCAATCATTCCAGAGCCAACTGTCAATCAAATAGCCACGCCTCCTCTCATCACTAAAATCTTAAGCTTTATATAAAATTCTGGTTTTATTGATCTCTTTGACAAAACAGCTGATTTACAGAAATCAGAAGGCTCATGTTAGAAATTAAATGGATTGAAATGAGTGTGAAGCAGGTTCTTAAACCAGTCCAAAACCAGTCTAAAATCAGGTTTAAAACAAGATTTAAATCTAGGCTTTAAATCAGTCTGAAAACAGGTTCAAACCTATTCTAAAAACAACTTTGAGAACAGTCAGAATCAAATCAAAAAGCAACCAAACCAGTTTAAAAGTCGTCCAAAAACCAAATCAAATACCAGTCACAAAACAAGACTGAAGCAAAGTTTGAAATCAGTAAAAAAAAAAAATTAAAAACCAAGTTAGGAAACTGTCCAAACTCAGAAACCAGAATTGGAACCAGTCTAAAATGAGCCCAAAACCAGGCATCGGTGTCACGATCTCTGTGGCTTCTAAAATCACAGAGGCTTTCTTATCTAGTGACACCATGAAAGAGGCACATAAAGTGGAAAGAGAAGCAATGAAATCCAGCAGCAGTTTGAGAAACTAAAGGCTGAGGCCAAGGTGGCGAATCCCTCTGCAAACCCAAATGAACTGGACCAACACATCACAACTGAAATCCTGACTTCGATGGCGAGAAGAAGTGGACTGAAGGGCCAGATCAGCATCCACTTGCTTAATGGCAAGTCACAAATCTTTTTGGGATCTTTCTGCGTGGAGTTTGCATGTTCTCCCCGTGCAGCGTGGGTTCTCTCCGGGTTCTCCGGCTTCCTCCCACAAGGTCCAGAAAACATGTTGAGGTTAATTGGTGATTCTAAATTGTCTGTAGGTGTGAATGTGAGTGTGCTTGGTTGTCTGTCTCTAAGTGTAGCCCTGTGATAGACTGGTGACCTGTCCAGGGTGTCCCCTGCCTTCACCCTGAGTCAGCTGGGATAGACTCCAGCCCCCCACGAACCTAGTGAGCCTCAAGGTGTGAATTAATGTGATCCATCAACAATGATAGCAATCATGGTGATGGAGATGCCACTTTACACAACAAAGGATACGAATCTGCCTTGTCGGGAGTGTTAATGATGGCAAAACTTTCGGGAGAGACCTTATCACTGTGTTACAGGTGCTTGATAAGGGGTGTTGCAGACCCACTCCTCTGTTTAGAAATGGATGTTCCAGTTTGACATAGTTGGCTTCCTTCGCTCCTCTTTCAAGCCATCTGACCTCTCTGTCCAAAATGTGTACATTGCTGTCCTTAAATGAATATTCCTTATCCTTCAGATGCAGGAGGATAGCTGAGTCTTGTCAATCAATCAATCAATCAATCAATCAATCAATCAATCAATCAATCAATCAATCAATCAATCAATCAATCAAATTTCATTTATATAGCACTTTTCATGTATAACAACAACAACAACACAAAGTCTTTTACAGCATTTGAAAGCAACAAAGCATTTAAAAACATGACATCATTTAAAAACATTACAACATTTAAAAAATAAAATAAACCTGTCCCTCTCACCCTCCATGCATACACATACACATATGGCAAATGCAGTCGCGCGCACACACACACACACACACACACACACACTCACCACTCGACTAAAAGAGGCGTGGCATGGCACTGAGGGATTGTGGGAAACGCTACCATTGGGGCCGTCCACACCGGGACCTCCGACCCGGCAGACAGGGGGATCCCCACAACGACGTGGGGAGCCCCCAATCAGCCGGGCCAAAGGAACCTGCAGACAGAACCCCCAGCAGCAGACCACACACAACCCCCAATGTGGAGGACCCCCTAAGGAAACACTGGAAACAAAACTAAAAACTTTAAGAATAAAAGGCCCTATGTACGATAAAATGAAAGTTAAAAGAGTAAAATACATAAGATAAAGATAAATAAATGATAAGAATGTAAAAAGAATTAAAGTTCAATTAAAAGCTTGATTAAAAAGGTGTGTCTTTAACCTTCTTTTAAAAGTATCGACAGTCTCTGCAGTCCTGAGGCTCTCCGGCAGGCTGTTCCACAGGTGAGGGCCGTAGTGGCTAAATGCCGCCTCACCGTGGGTTCTGGTTCTTGCTACTGGAATGGATAAAAGGCTGCTGCCGGAGGACCTCAGGATCCGTGAGGGTCGACATGGTAAAAGCAGGTCAGATAAATAGCTGGGCGCAAGGCCGTTAAGACACTTAAAAACTAATAAAAGAACCTTAAAATCAATCCTGAAGCAGACGGGGAGCCAATGCAGCGACTTTAAAACAGGTGTAATGTGGGCCCACCCTCTGGTCCTCATCAGCACGCGAGC